TTTCAGTTATGTTTAAAGGCTAAATTTTTTTAACAGTAAGTGTGAATTTGTATTATTTTTGTATATTTATGTAAAGATAATCTAATCTGATTTTAATATCATAAATTCCAGAAAATCCTATTTAGGGTGAAAATTCTAATGACATTTGACTTTATTTAGTAAATACCTCTGCTTATCCAAATTTAGCTTGAATTCTTATATTACTATCCATTCCATTTATTTTTGGCAAGCTCAAAGTTAGTACTTGTCCCTCTATCATTGTTTAGTCTGTAAAAGTTTAATTGATCATAGATGTTGAAGCTTGGACTTCCTTGAATGAATTAGATATAATTTAGACATTAAAATCCATTTCTGGGTTTGCAGCCAAGCTTTTATTCTAGTCGCTAAATTAAGCTTTAATACTTAGTTGATAAAACTTCCCAAGAAAGCCATTGTCGGAGCAATTTAATGTTATTGTTTTTTTCAAGGAGTTAAGACTGATACACTTTGGGATTACTTAATCATCTTTGCTTTGTAAAACATATTAGTATCTACAACCATGTGGCTAAAAAGAATGAGGTCTGAAACTTTATGTAATAGGTCCTTCACCTAATTTATACTTCATATCAACGAGAATAGGCAAATCAGTGAATTGTAAATGATTGTAGCAATAAGCTACAGTTAATTTCACAATTACTTAGCTTGTAGTATATTTGAATTTATTTGGAAATTATAATGAGCCAATTACGGTAAGATAATGGTCACCGATAAAAATCTTCCTAGAGTCGTCTTTAATATTATCTTTTAAAGAATAGGTAAAGGTTAGATTTTAAAAGCTATGTTGAAAATTTCCAGTCAACTAATCTAAGTCCTAAGCACTATCTCTAATTTCTATATTAAAAGAGTTAGCATCTGAACATTAAGGAATGCTGAAGTTACCAAAATTTACAGCGCAAGGCAAACCTATGAAGCACAAAGTATCATTATGGATAGCTGAGTCACCCATATTGAATTAAATTTTAGGACTTCCTTCTACATTATTGCATGAATGATTATAACTGACAACTTTCTGAAGAAATCTAATATCTTATGATTTTATTGAAAAATTGTAAGCAACATAAGCTGAACTCTTATCACAAGTAGCATCAATTTCAATATTTTCTATTCTTTTAATAAAATTGCTCAACATTTTCACATTTTAATTTAAGGTTGTAATTGAAGTTAAGTCATGAAAACTGTAACAACCTGTCTTAAGACTACTCATATAAAGAATACCGTATGAATTTGAGGCTATGTATGCCTAGCCTGCAATAATGAGATTATATTGATCCTATCTTATTATTCTATTCAACAGTAAATTAATTTGTGCATTAGTGTTGGGGGTCTAATAAAATGTAACATTTTTAGATCCTGCTTAAGATTAGTCATAAAAATCTTAAGCCTCAACTTTAATGATTTAAAAGCTTATTTAATTGACTTGATTGTTGGCTAAATTAGTGCTCTCTCTAAAGTAAACATATAATATCTCATTCTAAATTTCCTATAGGGTTTAAATTAACAGAAAAATTAGTTACAACTTCAAGGCATTAGCATTCGATAGGAGAGATTTATTAAAAGTATCTAGCACCATATCTTTCTGCATTTTATAGAGTAGAATTTTAATACACAAAATAACCTGCAAGTTATCTTATTTATGAAGACTACAGACAACCGTAATATCGTTTGTATAGTGATTCTATTTTTAAGAGTGATCTAAATTTGATTTGCATATTATCAGAAGTAATTTCTTTGCACCAAAGAAACTAGCTGAGATCATTACTTAATTTTATCACATAGTGATTTTCAATATTTGGGTCTGATACAATTGAAATTAAATTGCCATCTTTGTCAATTGTAATGGAAGTCTAAATTGGAATAACAATTTTACTTTTCATATAAGATGAGTTAATGATACTTCCATTTATTGAATTGAATTTTGAAAAAATATGGCCATATTCAGATTTGCCATTGAGAGTATTTAGGTATCCAAATCTTGTAAAAAATGTTCGATCAGAAGTTATAGGTGAAATTCCTTACAAATTGTTAAACATGAATTTAGAATACTAAACTTGTTCATCCAGGTTACTCGACTAAATTGCGCCAAGGGATCGTAGTTAAAATATCCGAGTACAGGAATGATCCCGTTTAACCCTCCAAATATAAAGCTAAATTAATCTTGATCAAGGGTTACCAGATAAAATTAGTAATCCTCCATATTGTTACCAACAAAAATGGGAAATTATTCATTGCCAAAACAACTTTTGTCCTGCAAAGCCATTACATATTGGGACATGAAGCAGAGAAATAAAATAAAAATGGCATAATGCCTTTAAATATGACATGACATATTAATTAATTATATGTCGTATTCAACTACCAAAATTAATAAATAAAGCTAAATTTATGTTGTTTAATTCTAGATATAAGTAATATAGTATTAGTTTATCAACTATCGATTGATATATTGCTGATGGGGTTTTGGGGTTTTGGGG